GCTCTTAACTCACTTTTTTATTTCAAACAATCAACAGAAAATTTCACCGACATAGTTTTATATAAGGTTTTTAAGGCTCTGGTGTTAATTTTTAAGTAACATGAGCCCAGCGGCAGCAGCAACGCTAGGCTAACACTAACTAGCTAGCAAGATTGTAAACCTGGTGCTAAACTAAGAGAAGCCACAAAATCAGTTTGAATAAGAGTAAACATTTACTCACCAAGTCAGTGTATCAGGTAAAGATCCACAGCAATGACAATAATCTCTTGAGCTGACGCTTTTCCAGGTTTGCTCTAGTGATGTGCGATACCACTGATTTCCTTTCCGATCCGATACCAAGTAATATTCAGGGTGGTATCGACGATACTGATCCGACACCGATACTTTGTACAAAAACTTATTTTATTTATTGTATCTCAAATTATAGTGTCATAATGATTACAGAACATCAGATTATTTGTTCTTATCACTTAATAATGCAGAGTTCATCATAGGGCTGGGCGATATGACCCAAAATTCATATCTCGATATTTTTTACCTGGACGGCGATATAAGATATATATCTCGATATTTTTTTTAAAAGCCATAAAGTAAGAACAAAAAGAGAGTTCTTAGTCAAAGCTGTGTCCCAGATGTCACACAGGCACTTTTATTAACATAGATGTACATAAGATTTACTCAAAAATAAATTATGAGCATTTATTAAATAATAATGCTCCATAAATAAAAGAAAACAATGTTGTTTTTGTGCATAACAAAAATCTCACAATTGTGCAGTCAAAATGTAAACTAAAAGACGCTGAGCATAGTAACAAAGACAGATTTCACAGCTGCTCTGTTCCCAACTTCTACTGTGTGACTGACAGCATTGAGTTTGAAATCCTCTAGTAACAACGTCTCTTAACAGGTGCCATTTATAGTCCTTATACACAGTAGGGTAATATTACGTTGAAGCACAGTACGTATCACTCCGCAAAGGCTCCTCGGTAGCCGTAATGCTCTGACAATCCATCAAGCGGTGCAGCACCATAGCTTACCAAAGTTGTACTAAAACATTTTTGACTTTTGATTGCTGAGCGCTGTGTACCACATAAAATCGGTTCGCGGCCATCAAGCACAAACAGAATTCCTACATAAGGCGCGCTGTCAACTTTTGAGAAAATGCAAGGATTTTAGGCTGTGCAGCGCCTCTGGGCTGCATGGCGTTAGCGTGGTTAGCTCGTTAGCGTGGTTAGCTAGCTAACACGTTGACGGCGTCCAGCCCCACGCACGGCGATGTGCAGTAACTCGTTAACGGAGATTTGCCGTGTCCATCTTGTCGCTTCCTGCAGGTGAAGCGATGGGGGAGGAGGGGCGAGGCCGAGTAACGTTGCGTAAAGACAAAAGTGGACGAAAGAGAGGCAAACTTGCGGCTCCACAAGTATCCGATTGTTCAGTCTGACGTCACTAGCCGTGTCTGGGTCTAAACTCCGCTGCAGGTCCATATATCAAACGATCACTATGGCATTACTGAGAGTTGTCTGTCTAAAGTCTTTCATCTTTAATAAAATGATCAGCGTTCTGCTCTACCAGGAGTAACAATTGAGTTTAACATCCAGGCATCCATGAAAACGGAATTTATGACATTTAACGTAATTAGAAGTTAGCAGGGAGTTAGCTCGCTAGCTTCTATCTAAATACAATATAGCATGTCCTGACTGCGGGGTTTTGGAAACAAATTAAAACGTACAGCTCTGTTATCACTTCCAGCATAAATGAAGACAGAAAACTAAACAGCAGTGACGTTTGTAGGGTTACTGAAGTTGGGCTAGCTGGTATATAATGATGTGCTACGTGACCGCTAGCGACACAGCTATGTTAGCATAATAGCATAATATAAACAAGCTAACTTTTTTTCCACTCGATAAAAGTTAATGTGAGTGTTCTCGGTGGTCAGGAACAAATGTAATCGCATGGCAGGATTTCTCCCAATTTTCCACCCGGACAACAAAATTGAAAAACCATATCGCAGAATTCATAGCGCGGCCCAGCCAATTCCAGTTTCCAACAATGACGGCAGCTACTTAGTTTTAATATTACTCTTATTTGTCTTTCTGGGTCGCAAAAGAACTTTTAACATATTTTCAGGTGAGAATGTAGCTGTGTAAACTTCAAACATCTGAGCCGACCGACACATCGTTTTCAAACCCCCGCGGTCTTTCACTGCTCGCGTTAAACATGATATATAAGTCACTTTGCTAACTTAAAAATGTTATTGTTAGGCTTTTTCAGTGTTTTATTTGTTCTTGAGTAAATTGGTTTGGCTGAGATTAAAGTTATTAGATTAGATTAAATTAAATGTAACTTTATTAATCCCTCGGGAGGGTTCCTCCGGGGTTTTCACACAGCTGAATAAACGTCAAACAGAAAACTAATTAAACAAAGTGTGAGACGGTAGAGAGTTTACGCCAGCGCCCGGTTATATTTTAGATAGCAAGGAGCAGACGGCAGAGTCTCACTCCACCGAGGGAGCTCGTGATGTACTACCCGGCTTTCTTTAGACCGCGAAGGCCGGGTCCTCAGGTGGAAGCAGCCTCTGAATTTGGACACCCCTGCTGTTTCCGGGCATTTAATGTATTTTATCCGATAAATAAACACTGTAAAATGTATTTATCCCCCCCCCCCAAACAGCCCTTTTGAATGTCTCCCTAATTCTGAGGTCTCAAGGTTGGCAATTATGGCCACAACACCTCACTTTTTTTGCCACATGTAGGATCGATCCGCACATCACTAGTTTGCTCAACATATTCCATAACAAATGCTGGCGCCATGATCATGCGGACTGATCCGAGAGGGAGGAGGACGGTAGTCACGTGGCATTTTCAAAACACATCTTTCATCCTTCCGCCCTGAGAAGCAAAACTTCCAGCTTACTTAGTTTTTCTAAGTTAAGACAACTCAAATAAATTGAGTTTATCAGCATTTTGCATATAAAGTACTGGTAACTTATTTAAATCGAGTTCTAATAACAAATTGATAAAAAATGAGTTCAGCCTATTTAATATTTTGAATTAAACACAATATTACATTTTACAGTGTGCTTTGTGATAACATTTATTTAAAAATTGTTTTCATAGCTTGTTTTTAGTTAAATAAAATATAGCTAATGGCAAGTTTTCAGAAATACAGAGGTCATGTGTAAAATTCTTCAACACACCCCACTGAATGCATATTTATTAATTCATCTGAAATATGTGTTAACTTGTTTATTGAAAAATTTAAATGCATTGTTAGGTTGTTAAATTTCACAAACTTACAGAAACAAACTCAAGAAAAGGATCCTTAGTGTCATCCATGACCCTGTTTAAGTCCTCAGAAAGCGAATCCATAGATCTCCAGAGTGTTTCTGTGTGTCTATTTTAGCAGTTATTTTCTATTCAGCTCAGTCCCAGTAAGAAGCCTTTTGTCAGAGAGCTCTAAAAACACACCATACGTGATTTTCTCTGTAATAAAAAGCAGACAGTTGGCTATTAGCTAGTTAAGAGTGTGTAATATATTGGAGCTTAAGACACCAGAGCTGAAATGCAAACAAACATTGGACTTAGATTTATCATTCTGCCAAAACAGACCACGAATGAACACTGTGAATTTTGCTGGCATATGCAGGATGCTGTTTTCTAAAGCGATTATGTCAGATGGTGTAAAACAAAATTAATTAAAGCGTTCATACGTCCAATCTAAGAGCAGTCGTTAGCGCAGTTATTCACACACGTTACAAGCGCAGAACAAAAAGCAAACAAACAGTGAATGAGTACAGATGCCACTGCGCAGATGTCAGAGACCCAGCAGCTTGTGTCCCCTCCAGATTTGCATCTTTCACTTGAACCGCTCAACTGTTCAAAGAGACAAATGATGAAAATGAGCGGGAAAGCACGAGGGCATTGAAGCGTCAAGGGATGACGATGATGATGGCACTAACAGATAGAAGTATTGTTTGACACCTGTTCTGAATTTTACATTTGAAACTTTCCAGCAACCTTCCATCTCTTATCTCTAGTTTGATGTAAAAATCATGTTAGCAAAGAATATTTTATAGTTTGCTTTTCTTGGTTTTGAGTCCTTTCGCACCTTAATCATAAAATAATGTAGAAAGCTTTTCTCTTAGCCATAAACTTACTGGTATTTTGGTAAAACAAGAACCCAGTCTTATTTAAATATGACAAGAAAGTTGCTTGTTTCATATTTCCTACCTCAGTTTTGCACGCTTCTCCTCACCTCCTCACCAGATCCAATCTCATACCTGCTCCGGCTAATAAACTGCCGCTTATGTAAATGCCACATGTATGATAATTCTAGCTTCTCAATAATAAATGGGAAAACCTCATGAATGAGCCAAATTAGTGCTGACCATCACATCAGCCCCCCCAAAACTCCATCATTCTCTCTGTGACCTTTCTCTCCTGGCAACCTGAGGAAGTGGATGATCTCCAGTTTGACAAAAAAAGGGGTAGAAATGGGAGTTAATAGGCAGCTCCTCTGCAAACACTGGGAGTCTTTATGAATAGGAGGCAATTACACAGATCAAATATACAGCAAGGGGAAATGGGTCTGGAATTCAGGAGGCAAAAAAAAAAAAAGAAAAGAAAAGAAAAGAAAAGGAGGGGAAATACAAATTGAAGATGCTGGTAAATATAATAATGTGTGCCTCATGTAATTGTCTGTTTAAATGCAGATACTGAAGAGGAGTGTTGACTGATGTAGACAGAGGAGACACAAGGAGGAGTGCCTGGATGGGGACTGGTCTACAGTTACAAGACTTCTAGCACAGAGCTGGAGATTTTGTTGTCATTGCTGATTCTTTTTTGTTTGTTTGCTTGTTTGTTTGTTTGTTTGCAGACTTCATGACGATCCATGTCTGAGCAGCACCATTGTGCTGGCAATGTGACTGATTGATCAGTAGATGAACAGTAAAGATTAAGAGGATGACAAATAAGCATGCTGCTTACACAGCGCTTGGGGCTAATCCTACCCCCTCCACCACCCCCCGGGTTCCCTTTTGAGGACCTGCTGCTGAGGAGAGCCCACAGACAGTGACAGACATCGGAGGGAACACACACCCGCACACAACCTGTTCACGTGCAACAAGTGTCAGCTGGAGCTCATGACAGGACCCCAGCTCATCTGAACAACCACAGCAGAGGTTGCAACACACAGCACGGGCTCACCCTGCCATCTGTCCACCGGGGACCACCGGAGGCCCTGCGGCCCTACGTATTTTTATTTGAAGCAACTGAGCAGAAGAGGACCAAAACTTTTTCTTATCTGCCTTCGTCAATCACTAGAGGAGATATTTTGAGAGAAAAATAATGGAGGATCACCTTACAAAGATACCCATGATGCCATCCTCTTCCCCCACAGAGTCATCTGGCAGCGGTGGGACTGATGACAGCAGGGGAGGTAAGAGCTCCACACCAACGACAACAAGTTGCCAATGAAGTCTGAAGAGTGTAACACTGACTTGGCTCGGTAACAGGGAGGAAAAGTTAGCACTTAAACAATATGAAAGTTTGAAACACCTGAAATTCTTTACTCAACATGCATCGGGTTATGAATGAAATCCAACACAAAAACATTAAAAACTCTCATAAAAACACATAATTATGAGCAAGCAATGCTTTTTTTAAATTATAGTTAAGGATTTTATTCAATTTTTGTGAGTGTTTAGACAGACTGTCCTGCTACCAGCAGACAGAGCTGACTGTACAGATGGCAGGCACATGTATGAAACAATACCAGCCCTAATGAGTGGCAATAACCGACCTACTCTGTGACTGTTTTTGACTCACAGCCAAGAGTCCTGCACCGGGCAAAGCTCTGAGCCCAGCTCTGGTCTGCAAAGTGTGTGGAGACACCAGCAGCGGGAAACACTACGGCATCTACGCCTGCAACGGCTGCAGCGGCTTCTTCAAGCGCAGTGTGAGGAGGAGACTCATTTACAGGCAAGAGGAAACTCAGCTGTAGACAGTTATTCCAGCTTCATCGTGTGACGTTTCCTCATCTATTTAAAATAGTCAATATTCAAGGTGAAAGGAATATAAACTCTGGTTTTAGCCTCTACAAACCCCATATTTTGCCAACTATTATTGTAAATTAAAGTGTTTCCTATTACTGTATAAGTAAATGCCTTTCAGATTAAAAAAAATTTGTAGCAGCACAAGTCAGTGTGAATAAAAAAAAATGCACTTTTTGCACTCAAATATTATAATAATAATAATAATAATAATATTGACAGAAAGTAACTAAGAGAAGTAAAAGTAAGTAAAACACAAATAGCTTTAATAAATATATATTAAAATCCCCTTTAATTCTATCTGTGATTAAAAGTAGAACCCAAAACTTTTCTTTTCACTTTTGATATTTTTCTTTTGATGAATGGCAGGTTAAAATTAAGGACTTAGCCACACTGGTTTACTCAGAATTCGGACATTTTCCATATACATTCTAATAGCTGATCTTTAGTAATTAATATGTTCTTACTGCTTTCAATATTCTGTAAGCCAAAAGAAAATAAGTGAATGTTATTTTGTCATTTTGAGTCGACTCTCCCTTTAAAATGCGTGACTGTTGGTTAACAGGTGCCAGGCCGGTACAGGCATGTGTCCAGTGGACAAGGCTCATCGTAACCAGTGCCAGGCATGTCGGCTGAAAAAGTGCCTGCAGGCGGGCATGAATAAGGACGGTGAGTCGTTTTAGCATTCATGAGCTTCATTAAACTGATTGGTGTCCAGTGGAACTCAAACATGAACCTGTGAGCGGTTAAAATCATTCCTGTATTATCACCTTAGATAACAGGTTGTGCCTTTCTGTCTCCCCCCTGCAGCGGTTCAGAACGAGCGGCAGCCCCGCAGCACAGCTCAGGTCCGCCTGGACTCCATCGATGTGGACCCGGAGAAGGAGCACCTGGCCACCACACGGGAACCCACCTCCTCTTCCTCCTCCTCCTCTTCCTCATCTTCTTCATCATCCTCCAATGGGTCTGTCATCACGTGGCCCCACATCACCTCCTCCATGTCCATCACTTCCTCTGTTGCAACCCAGCGCTGCATCAGTCCCCAGAACAACCACCGCTTTATGGCAAGCCTCATGACAGCTGAGACCTGTGCCAAGTTGGAGCCTGAGGATGGTGAGCAACAGTTGTCAAATGAAAGGTTTTTGCTGTAAATTTAAGGTGAAGCTTTCTCCTTCACATTAGGACTTGCAGGGGAAATGATGGTTAGAAAACACATATTCTTGGGTAAAACGCAAATGAGTGGGGTTCAGTACAAAAAGCAGAGCATAAGAGGGTGTTATCAGGTGGGCAGTGAAGAAGGTGGGGTTGATTTCAAATCTGTCATGGTTACATCTCCACTTACCGGAGCATGATGAGATCACCATGATGATCAATCCCATTCTGGAGTGATCAAAAATCTTTACTAGCTAACCAAATTTGCAACTCTGCTTAAATATTCTTCTAATTCAATTTAATATTTTAAAGTTACTATTTAGCAAACATCAGGTGAGTAGTAGCATGTACAAAATGCTAACATGTGAAACTATGATGACATGTTCTTTAGTCTTAGAGAGACTTTTTTTTGTCCATATGGGCATCTGCTGACTTTCAGCTGGAGCTCAAATTTTATGACTTTATTACATAGTAATAAAGTCTAATCTAACCTGAACTGAAGCACATCACAACTACCTGAAGTTTAGTTTCATCTGTCTATGCAACAAGTTGGTTTTGTTTCCTCTGCACTCTTGATTCTGAGCTCATCTTTTCTGTTTCAGTTGATGAAAACATAGATGTGACCAGCAATGAACCAGAGCAGGCGTCTTCAGAGTACCACATGGCTTTGTACCCGTCTGGTTCTGAAAATGTATACGAGACCTCAGCAAGGCTTCTCTTCATGTCCGTGAAATGGGCCAAGAACCTGCCCGTTTTCTCCAACCTGCCCTTCAGAGACCAGGTAAGCTGAAAGTGAGGGTTTTTGACCTCTATTCTTGTTAGAAAAAAAAGTATAATGATAAAAGACAAATTAAAGTTACAGATATAAAAAATATAAAATGCAGATGTCTCTTTTATATCTAAAAATATATTGAATCATGATTTATCTTTATATGCGACAATGACAGAAAAAGACAGAAATTCTTATTTTTATCTGTAAATTCCAAATACCGATGTCATTATGTGCTTACAGGATTACATATGTTGATGTAACTTCATGTTCATGACATTCATGACATGGCCACAATGACCACAAAGCACATTCAGCATTATGAAATGACAATATGACAGTTAATAGTACCACAAATACTGTCTGACTATAAATAAGTAAGTGAACACTGAATTAGTGGTCCCATTCCTGTTTGACAACATTACAATGTGATTGGCTCTGCAATAAAAGGGAATGTCAGGAATGAGCATCTATAGTTTTTCTTTGTGATTTCTTTGGGTCGAAGGTGAAGCTGAGTACAGGGGTGCATATTCAGTTTCTAGTTTTTCTTCTTCACCAGGTCATCCTGTTGGAGGAAGCATGGAGTGAACTCTTCCTCCTCTGCGCCATCCAGTGGTCTTTGCCACTAGACAGCTGCCCACTGCTGTCTTTGCCAGACCTCTGCCCTGGCATGCAGGGAAAAACCAGCTACACTAGCCTGGACCTGCGCCTCCTACAGGAGGTCTTCAGCCGCTTCAAGGCCCTCGCTGTTGATCCTACCGAGTTCGCCTGCCTGAAGGCCATTGTGCTCTTCAAGCCAGGTGAGGAACAAAACACTATTCAGTTGATTGTCTACAATCTGGCAGATTACCTTTAACATGATCACAGTACGTAGCTATGTCCACTGTCATTGTTTTCAAGAGATAAGCACCACGCAGAGGCTAAAATTTCCCTCAGTGTGTTTTATTTAATTAAGATCACTATATTACCATACATGTCATTTAGTAATCATATCATCACTTTATAATTATGATGCCCATCAGTATGGTACATCAAAATTATAGAGGCATTTTTTTTTTTATTACATGGAATGTTATACAATTTTTGTCAGGAACAGTTTTCCCTAGAAAGCAAAGATTCCATAAAGTATTTCTTCTGCTTCACAGAGACTCGAGGTTTGAAAGATCCAGAACAAGTGGAGAACCTGCAGGATCAGTCGCAAGTCATGCTGGGACAACACATACGGTCACACTACCCTAGCCAACCAGCCAGGTAACAACCTACCTGATAAAGGTCACCAATTCAATGGAACAAAATGACAAAACACAAAACAAAACTCCAGTGTGTTTATAACAAAACACAGAATTTTTGTTCTTTATTATGTTTAAAAGTTGATTTCTGGATTTGAAAGTAACCTTCATTCCTTCATTCTGTTTCATGACAAGCATCCTTAATTTGAGGTTTTATATAAAAAACTGATTTCCCTATGTAACTGATTCTACAATGTGAAAGGCTTTTGCTTTAAATTATTTGACATGGCCTTAATTTTATTATGATCTTTGTGTTTAGGTTCGGAAAGCTGCTTCTTCTCCTTCCCTCTCTGCGCTTTGTGAATTCTGAGCGGATAGAGCTGCTGTTCTTCCACAGAACCATTGGAAACACTCCCATGGAGAAATTGCTGTGTGACATGTTCAAAAACTAAAAGAATCACAGAGAAACCCATGCAGTCATCAGTAATGTCCTGTTTTGGATGGGATGATGACTGACAGATATTTGTTTTGTATATATACAAGAGATTCTGCATGCTGTTGTTTGTTGTCTTCTTTTGTCACCTCCACATCAGTTAATTTGACAAAGAAGAAAATGCAGTTCAGTTTTTGTCATAATGCGTTTTCTTTGTATTATATCAAGAGTCTCTGATTTGAAGTTATGGTCATACTAGTTTTGTTGTTGTTGTTTGTTTCAATAAAAATACTTTGTTTGGTAATAGTGTAATTTGTTTGGTAACGTGTGTGTGGCCCTGCTGATGTTAATGTGACTGTTGTATTTATGTTGTTACGCCTTGAAAAAGTAAAAACAAAGAAGAAAAAATCTAAAATATACCTGTTGCTTTAATTCTATGGAGCAGGAATGTTTTCAGTATACTTGCTATGTTACTAAGAGCTTGCACCGAACCCATGAAACAGTGCCCTCTTCTGTCTGGTTAATACACAGATTCTTCAACACACTCTCACACACAATAAATATAATAAAAAAGATGACTAAGATGTAAGTTGAGCCCCTTTAATCTGTACCTCCTATTTAAATTAGAATTATGAAAATTAAGCAAAGTGTGAGTAAGACTAATGCTTATACTGGCGTATCAGCATTACTGCTTTCCACAGACGTGGAGAGTGACATTTCACTTTGTCTTTGTGTTAAGCAATAACTGTATCAATTTTCTTATTGCTTCTCTTAAATACAGCTGTGGAGTCATTTGAAAACATTGTCATTCAGCCTTAAGTGAAACTTCATTATTTTGGCGTGTTAGAATGACAGCATCATGTATGTGGCACCTTTCCACCCACTTTCTCAGTGACAACCAACGAAAAAACCAAAACCAAAAAACATTGGTGAGACATCTTTAACACTGCTGGTAGAAGCAAAAAATCTTTTTACTTTTTCACTTTTTTTTACTCCAGATGAACCATTTTCACTCAATTTTTAGTGTGAATGTTGCAGAACACACACTGACAGTTTGGACTGACAGATTTCGGTCAGTCCAAACTGTCTGTAAATACGGGACAGAAATGCTTCTGAATTCTTTTGCAGCTTTTTGACAGGTATATATTGCTGTGTTACTGACAAGATTAGGAGCCAATGTGCAGGAATCAGAATCGCCACTGAGCTCAAGATACAGCTTTTTGTGCTGGACTCACAAGGATCAAAAATAGAAAAGAACTTAACTAGGGAGAGACTAGGAATTTGCTAACTAGGAAACTACAGGAGACACTTGGAACATGAGGACACTCAGCAAGCGGGAATGAGGGACAACACAACAAAGGGCAAAGGGACACCGAGACAATAGCTGTGTCTCACTTCAGGGGCTGCAGTCTTCGGAGGACCCGGCCTTCGCGGTCTACATGTGCCAGATCCTCCGAAGACCGAGAAGGCCGGAAGCGAGGCTGTGAAGTGGGATGGTCTAGCCTTCAGATTTGCCTCGCCAGCTGTCTCGGTGGAGTTTAATAAAATGAGCCGTCTGCTCCTTGCTATCTAAAATATAACAGGACATTGGAGTAAATTCGCTACCATCTCACACTGTTTAATCAGTTTTCTGTTTAATCAGTTTTCTGTTTGATGTTTATTCAGCTGTATGAAAACTATAACTTTAATCTCAGCCAAACCGATTTACTCAGGAACAAATAGAACACTGAAAAAAGCCAAACAATAACATTTTTAAGTTATCTAAGTGACTTATATATCACGTTTAACCTGAGTAGTGAAAGACCGCGCAGGGTCTGAAAACGATGTGCCGGGAGTCCGGTGTTCTCACCTTGGCCACCCGGTCAGCTATCGAGCTGGTGAGTAACAGACGTCTCAGAAAACGTTGGAGCACTTTTGCAAATATGTGATGTCTTGATAAATCGAGCAAAAATTTGCAGTTTACACACCTACATTCTTGCTTGAAAACATGTTAAAAGTTTATTTTGTGACCCAGAAAGAGTAATATTTCAAACTCGTTAGCCGCACTTCTTCGCCATTGCCGCATTTGAAAAGTATTTTTATATTATTATGGAAATTTTAGGAATAATAATTTAATTAATAAAGTAATAAGAGTAATTTTACAACTAAGTAGCTGCCACCATTGTTGGAAACTGGAATTGGCTGGGCCGTGCTTTGAATTCTGGGATAGGTTGGGCCAGGAAGGATACACCCAACCTAACCTTGAAATCCGGGAAATTGAAGGACGCATTTGTCGGCTGGAGCAGCCTTCGAATTACGTTGCGTCGCTATGACGTAATCGGCCTTCAAATGCGGCCTCTGAAGGATGGACTGAGATACAGCTGGTATACAGTCAATAAAGGAAGAGGAAACAAAAGCAGTTAAACTGAAAACAATGCACACAGGATAAGAGGACCTTCAAAATAACACAGGAACCTGACACTTAGACAAAACAAACATGGACACATGACTGAAACACGGGTCACAGAAAGTAACAGTTACAACTTATCATCAGTTATCATGCTGTAACTGCTCACTATTATGTTATTTCTGCTTAATGTATTTTGTCTTTTTTGTGAAAAGCATTAAATTCAAAATACAAATACACATTTGAATATATAAGTATATGTATACTCCCATGTATTTCTATGCCTCTGATTGTCAATTCAATTCAATTTTATTTATATAGCGCCAAATCACAACAAAAGTCGCCTCAAGGCGGTTCATAAATACAGAGAAAAACCCAACAATCATATGACCCCCTATGAGCAAGCACTTTGGCGACAGTGGGAAGGAAAAACTCCCTTTTAACATCCAATATTCAAAAGGTAAACAAACAAAAAAATTATTTTGACCAGACTGTAGTCAGACACCTGACTACATCAAGAAGTAGTAGGATCTTTACACTCTGTACCACGTGTCTTCACATTTCCATCTACACAGTGACCTTATAACAGTATTATTAAAATGAAGTAAATTCCACCTTGAAATGAGGTTTGAAATGATGAGTTCTATGTGGTTTAAATGAGCGTTGGTGTACCTCAGCCAAATGTCAGCTTGATAAGAAACGTCAGTCAGTATTTCTTTACCTTTTGATTCAAACACACTGCCACTATCAAAGAGACACAGCAGAGGAAAGGAAGTGGACCCCTGCTGCATTTCATTGAGACATCAAACTTGTTTTTTTATGCTTGCAAGCTGAATTGAAAGAGTTTTCAGTTGCTTACAAAGGCAAGCAACTGAAAACTCTTATTTTAACACAAATATTTTTCATTCTAAGCTGAAACTGAGCTTGAAGTCTGGGGTTTAAGAAGTTAAGAACAGCATCCAACACATCTGTGGTGATTTTTCTATGTTGAAATAGCAGCATTTGAGCCATCTGGATCCAGTGCCAGGCCCTTACAGTCCCAGTCTTTGGATCAGATCAGCTGGCCCTCTGCAGCCTTATGACAGAAACTCACCAGTCCAGATTAAAACACTTTCAGCTCCCACAGGCACCAGATTTCCCAGCAAAATATGCTTTGACTCAAATGGTGCTATTAAATTTTCTTTTAAGATACACAGCATGAGCACTGGAAATCATCATAAAGTCCTGCTTCAGCTGCAGTTTGGAGAAGGTGAAGGTCTGTTGTTAGTGTTCGTCCTCTGCAGCGGCACTGGATGCTCGTCACATGGTTTCTTTCTGTCTCATTTTTATTTCATAAAACTTTAAGTTGAGGTCCTTACGTAACGTGTCCCATTCTCATTTTCACCTTTCTGTCACTCGTTCACACAAAGGTTGCCTCTGTTTCAGTGAGATTTTCATCTTAAAAGATTAGTCTGTTAAGTAACAAGCGGAGGGAGGCAAACAGGTTGTGCCATTTGCTGTGCAAAAATAACATTACCTAATCTGAATGACAAACCCATAGAGTCGTAGGTGAAGATCATGAGATGTCTCATTAGATGAGCAGCAATAGCTGGACCAGTCTGTCTGGCAACAACCAAACGACAACCTAATTTGATGCTCAGTTTGATGTTTCTCCCATGTGACTGGCTGAATTCATATTTGTGCTGAAGAGCGATTGTGCCTAATACATGGCTCTTGACTGTAGTCTTGTTATTGATTAACACTCCCATTGGATAATACAACTTTAGCATGTTTCACTGTAGAAATGGTACTGGCCAGATGTGAAGAATTTACTGGACTCAGACTTATTACTTACGAACCATTTAAATATCTGCACCACCAAACTCAACAATGCATTTTTTTTGTTAACTTGACTGTTAATTAAATCCCTAAACGTGATGCTACATTGTCTTTGACCAAATATTATTCTATGAATCACTTTTAAATGATTATGTTGCAAGGTTTAAAACATTTGTTACTCCACTTGCTTCATTTCACGTGAATGTTAAACCTTGCTCCACTCTCCCTCCCTTCTGTGCAGCCCTTAATCTGCTGCGTTTAGTTATTAGCTGGACTGGAATGTGTTGGGGTTCTTGGGCCAAGCTGTCCTGACACGTTGCAGCAGCACCAACAGACTGCTGACTGGAGCTGGACCAGGAGGAGTCCTCTGGATCCTTATTTGTCCTGCTTCACCTGTATGACTTGATTAAACAGCTGCAATGAATCAGAGCAAAGAGGGAGTTGAGCCTTTTCAATATTCCTATTATGACTATTCAGACTGGTACTCAAACAACGCAGAGCCTACAAAACCACCCAAAGAGTGAGTATAAAAAAGTTGAGTCAAAGGTGTCAAATGGGGCCATAAGCATTGATTATTTTCACAGGTTGGGTCCTGGTACATCAACAAGGTCAGAAAAGTGCTGAGATGTGGTGGTTTGATTTGTTTTAGGCTTACTTTGCACATTTTTTAATGATGGTTTTATTCCTTATTTTCTTTTTGTCGCAGAGTTATTTTACCATGTGACCCGACAGCAGATGACAAGCTCTTCCATATATGCATATTATCGATATCAGTAAGTATACTTGGACCTGACTACTCTCTTAAGGGCGGGGGGTTGTTTTGTTGGGTTACTGCAGATAAATTGGGGTCACTTAAAATACAGCATAATATCAAACTTGTTGAACACATTAGCACTCTCCATCACCATATTCCAAACACCAAAAGAGGGAATAATTTAGAAGAATGATGTTCTTCTTAATCCAGTACAGATCCACAGACGTGGAGAATCAATATTACAGTGCACTGACGTTGTTCTGGTTGTACATGGTGACACAACACCTTACTCAAGTCACTGAGTGTTGCTTTTTTTTCTTTAACTTATCACCATCTAAGTTATGATCATATGGGAAATAATGCTAATAATGCATTAATTTATCGGACCTATAGGCTACTGTAGTAGCACAATGAAATGTAGTATTTATAGCTTTGCTTCATTAATGTATAACTGCAAATTGTTGTTGTGTTAGGCTAAAATAAGTCCCTTTATAATTTAAAAGGTGTCTAAGGAGATGCAGCTTTAAAAAGTATTATATATTACTCTTTACTTTTCTTATAAGTAATGCAATGCAATTAATTACTTTCTTTGTGATTCATTACTTAGTAATTCATTAGTAATTCATTACACTACTCATTAAAATGCAATAAAAAATAAGAGGATGCATATCCACTCCTCAAAGGCTGTATCACCCCACAAGCTTTTTTCCTTCTGCACAAGAACTGAAATTGGCTGATTGTGGCGCGAATCAGAATCAGAATCAGAATCTGAATCTGAATACTTTAATAAGTGCACAGAAAAAAAACATTTGTTAGATGTTTTTTTTAATCCACCTGTGTGCAGATGACTGAAGAACGCAGTTTATAACACAAGCAGTGGCAAAATTTAAACTGTAATGAAATGACTGAATTTAGTTCAGTAACATGCTACATTACTGTGTTGCTGAAAATGTAGTGTGACTACAGTAATGTGTTACTTTTTAATCTGTTACACCCAACACTGCTTGTTTCTACAGTAAGGCAGAATGAACAAGAGAAACACTGATAACTTTGTAGTTTCTTGGGAATGCATGGCTTAAGCAGTTTATAGCAATTATAGACTGTATAAGAGTGGACATTGTCACCAATGTAATCCGCTAGTCATCTTAGTCTTAAGATAGCTTTTTGCAAACAAACATAACAAGCAGGGGTCAGCTCTGACTCACAAGCCAAGAAATTTTTATGTAGTATCAGATAAAATTATAGATTTGAATGTCTGCTGCCAACACAGCTTGAACATTTAAACTATTCTCCTTTTAAGTGGAACATAAGAGGATGAGAGAGGTTCATTTCCCAGTACATCCTTTGGTGCATTTTCCAGGAATCCGTCAGTTGTCTTTGCTCCCAAAGGATATGCCATTTAGGGACTTTTACTGTCATTTAGCCTTCAACCAATTACGAATGAACACAACTGACTCAGTCATAAAAATCCTTCTACTGTGTATAGAATGGACACGACCCAATTTCATTGTACGGTAAACAATCTGAAAAACTATTAGAGGTGGGTCATGAAATATGTTTTCTACCAAACAAGGTTATTTATTTGAGGTTCTTCTGACTTATAGGTCAGTTCCTGACATATCTACAGTGCTGTGTTATTTTGGAAAGTTGAAGTTTTAATGAGCTCCTGGAGCTGGCTCTGATAAACACAATCAAATACAACTTAGCCCTGAAAGATAGGGGGCACAGTAAAGCCTTATCATTTAGTGACACGACAGCATATTAAGAATAACGTTTGCAGTTCACCATTTGTACCTGAAAGGAATGTCATAATCCTGTCTTAATCAGATTGTCCTATCATTTCAAGGAAGCATTCGATTACACTTGTTTACAAGTGTGTTACAAACAGTCTTTTTTTATGAATCTGCCAACATTTTGGGGCAGCTTTTGACAAAAGGAAACTTTTTAGAACAAGCTAGCCTAAAATTACGTTTCCAGCATGTAATGTAAAAAAACTATACTACCTTACTATATTAGTATATAATGACAATCACTGATGTGGCATTAACTGTATGATGCGTAACGGAAGATCTAAAATTTTGTCCTTCCATCTAGCTGGTGATCATGTTAATCCTGGCAGGTCTCACCAGGAAAAATAAATTCTGCCAGGGTTTCGCAAGAGGATCCTCAAGCATCTTCAGGTAAATTTGGTAAATACAAATTTAACTGCACATTTGTCTCATGTTATCTGAGCCTCCCTGTGTGATCTCACAGTCCAGCCAACTTCCTGGATCAGACTCAGAAAAAAGGAGTGGTTATGGCTGTTTTTGGACTGGTGTTCAGCAAGCTGGCAATGCTGGTGATCACCCCAGACCCTCTGCCTTTCTCCAAAGATACTCCAGCAGATAATAAAGGTAGACATCTGAATGCTTGTTTGTTCTTTAGTTGCAATGAAGATTGTAATTGCTTCAGTTATATGGTGGTTTGATTATCATGCCAGTCAGTGGTTTTTGAACATACACTGCCTTTATTATTATCCCTTTATTATTAAAAATCAGATTATTCACGTGGAGGATTCTAGAGAGTCCTTGTTTTTCCATTTTGTCTATACTGATTAGATTAGAGGTTTCATTTTAGGAACTGATATGCCCTGTCTTTTTTTGGGTCCTTTTTTTCCAGAGTACATGAAGATAATCGCCATATTTTATTACCCAATCCTGTATTATCCTCTGTTGATATGTGGAACTCTGCAGCGCAAAGCAGGTTATGTGTTTGGGACACTGCTCTCCTTCACTCACTTTGGAGTCCTGGTGTGGCAGAAATTTGACTGTCCAAAGACTCCAGAGGTAAAATACCAACAAAAAAATACTGATGTATAATGTTTAAGGGAAACAAATGAATTTCATATCTGAGAAGAATACTTTCTTTAAAAGTTTATGTTGCCCTTCTGTTTTCAACGTCAGACTTGGTATAAAAAAATCCTACACAGATTTCAAATATCTGCTAAATTTAAAGACATTTGTTGCTATGCAACCTCATGGTAGATTTTGAGGTGCATGAACAAGCTACTGTGGCAACAACTCAACCAATCCCAAAGATTTTCCTTTCCATGTTTCACTTTCATGACATGCTTGTACAGTGTTGATCTTGCTTCTAGTTGTAGCAGACATAAGCTAGTCTAGTTAAAAAGTTTGAAAACAGTGCAAAAGCTGGAAGAAATAAAACCCAAACAAGATGGGAACAGCCAAGTCTGGTTATAGTTGTTTAACTTTTGTGATTTGTCATTAAGTAAGTCCTTTAGTAACTGATAATTTTATATAATTTTGGGTTTGTATAAAATACATCACGTTACAATTGAAGGAACTGATACTTTAAAGGACAGCATATTTTATTTGTTTACAGATCTATAAATACTATGCTCTACTCGCAAGTCTGCCTCAGCTGGCCTGCCTTGCATATCTCTGCATTCAGTTCCCTTTGCTGTTTGTGAAAGGACCAAAGACGGACGAGGTGAGAAAAGTCAGAATACACAAACATTCTAAATTTCAACATTCTAAAAATGTATGATATTTATCTCTGGCTGTGGCTGGTGCACACGAATAAGTACGTAACATAGTTCAATTATGTAAAACAGAACTGTGATTACAATGAGCAGCTTGTGCAGAAAAAGAACAGGTTTAACCCTGTGTCCTTCAGCAGATTATGACGGGAGAGGTGACATTTTCCCACCTTCAAATATATTAATCCAAGACTTATACTTCAAAAGCAGATTAAATCCCCAACAAACACTAATTGGTAACATTGAAATTACAGAGTTATGAAGGAAATTAAACTTGTAGTTATGTTCTGAAATACTGACACCTTAAAATGTTTTTGCTCACAGGACCTTGACAGTAGCTACTACACCAACTATGTGAAGTTACTTCTCAAGAAAAAGTCCTCAACTGCCAGGTGAGCAGAGATTAAAGAGTGATTTATTTTATTAGACTCAGAGTGGTGACACAAAAAAAACATGATAGAGGTCGGGATCATATTTCAATGAAGATGACAAAATTTATAATGAAAGCTTGCTCATTGGCAGTTTTGCTGGTGACTTTAATGTGTTCAGTTCCAGTTCCATTAACTGTGCCATTACAGTGAGCTAGCAGCTTACTTTGTTGCAGTGTGATCATTTTCTGACTTCTCAGTTTCAGAATGTAATATGTGACAAAGGCCTGATAATGTTTGTAGGTTTATTTTTAATCGATATTTATAGAGTAGTATTTGCTAAAGATTTTCCTTTCAGAATATTCTTTTCTTTCTACATTGTATTAGCTGACTGTCACTGGTTCAGAGCCCAGGCTCCACAAGTTATAAGCTAAAATAATCGCTCTTTTGGAGTAACTTCAAAAATGAGATTAGTGGAGTCTAGCATTTGATATTAAATCAACTGATCATTTGCTTCTCTGGCTTCATGCAAATCAAATTAATTGCACTTTCAAGCCACATGCCAAAATTATTATTTTTTGTCTGTTTTTTAAAAGTGAGATTCCTACTGGCTTCAACTGTGTAATGGTGTATAATCCTTTAAACCCACAAATATGTTGAAATTTACCACATTTCTCACCACATGTATGCATGATTTTCATTCAAAGTAAAAGCATTTTAAAACTGTGGATTACCTATATTTGCTTGCACCTTCAAAGGTGATAAAATTAGGATAGTTAAAACAACCAAATTCACCTTAAAAATCCAGGTTACTGTTAAGACTGATAGGAAGAAGAGGAAGAACAAAGTTATTTTCAAAACAAGGTACAAAGAGTTTACGTGCAATTAAAGAAGTATGAGTGAAGTTTATTATATAAAGACAGGCCAAAAGCAAGTGACAGTTTTTAAAAAATAAAGAAAATGCTGAATTAAAAAAGATGAAGTGTTATCTTTGTTTATCTTCAACAGGCCATTGAACAATTAAGGTGCTTACAGAAGGTTTACTGTATATTTCGGGGGATAAACCTCTATAACCGAAATGATCATTGCAAAATGGGATTTGGATATTTATTCAGCTTTACCTGACGATCAGTCTGACTGTGTAATTCTGAATCAGCTCAAGTTTGTTTTCTTTGTCTTTGTTGTGTGAGCAAAAAAAATGAGAACAGTGGATTAATCTAATCAAAATCAAAGGTAGTATTTTCTAAATTATTTTATAGACAAGGTTTTTTAATTTTGAGAACTGTAATATGCATAAATAAACAATTACGCTAATATCCTTGTTGAAATTTTAATTATTTAAAGATATTTTTTAAGCATTTATTAAATAAATACTTACTGGAAGAGTGAGATGTGAACCAAAATAGGAGGAAATATAGTACTACAGTGTTGCAATGGAGCTTGTGGCCTTGAATTGTTACTGTAGAAAATGTTTGGTTACTAGCATAACCCAGATTCTCTGAAAACCAAGGGGGATATGAGAGATTATTCTGATTCTGATTATCTGATGGATCATACCGGAGGGCTCTTCCCATAGTGAGGTACTGGGGGAGGCTTGAAAAGGAACTTGCAATTCAGTTGCAGATATCAGCAATACATAAGTAAATAAGTTAAATAAATTAAATATAAATCGCATTCATGTAGTTTGCAGCTCTCACGACTTGTTCTCTTGTAGTTTGTCAGCATCTGACAAACCAGCGCTTGCAGAGAGAATTCTGGAGGTGATTAAGGGTTACATTTATATTCCTGAAAAAGGTGAGTGTTCTCATACAGATATATTTTTTATGTAACGCTGACTTAACTTCTTCTGCATATCTGACATATTGGAAATGCTGCAGTAACCTACTTGATCATTTTTCCTTTCAGTGTTTCGTTTTCCACTGAAGCTGGCGGTATCATCTTTTGTTACCTGTGTGGCTATACACCATGTGAGCTTAAATAAGCCAATAATACCTTTACCTATTTTAAAATGTCATACCATCTTGGTTCATTTGTTTTACATTCACCATTGCCTGTTTCACCCTACAGACCGCACTCTTGATAGTTGTCCTGGTGGTGCCCACTCTCCACATTGTTCGTGCTGGTATTGATGAAAATATCGCCTTCTTGTTACTGGGTTTTGGGATTGTGTTATCAGATGACAGGATGGAGGTTGTTAGAATTGTAACTTTTTACACATGGCTGCTGGAAGGTATGTGGGTCTGTTTGCTGTCCCTGTAACAAAATACCAAAGTATTTTTGTTTTAAAGTAAGACTAATTTGTTTTTTCTTTTGCATCATTTGCTTGTTAGTATGCTACCTCTGTGCGATGACCCTGTCTTGCTTGGTCAGCCTTATTATGCTCATGAGGTCCATGGTTCTCCACAGGTATGTGCAGTAAATCCTCAAAGACTGGAGGCATTGGTTAAAGGAAACTCTATTTTCTCCATGAAAAGTTTACTTATTCTGAATACTGATTATAGTCTAACCCCAATATTGCCAGACTTCTCATTGTTGCCTGATGATAAGTATTTCAACTTTGTTACTTATTTTTCTCTAGATTTTTCTCAGACAGGCCTTCCTGTCTGAACCTGATGTGTGACTGGCTTAATGTGTTTCAGATCAAACCTAAGAGGACTGTATAAGGGAGACATTTACAAGCTTTGCAACAACCAGAAAACCATGCATCCGTCTAGAACAGGTGTTGTCTGTTGGATGGGCTTGACGGGATACCAGGCTGCAATCGTCAGCCTTGGTAAAGCTTGAATAAACTGCATCACTGACTTTAGTTTTAAGAATAATGCTGGAAAATACCACATCATGAAAAGAAAAAAAACAAAACCCTTTTGACTTGTCCTTTTAATAGGGATTGTCTCTCAAAAAGTTTTTTGTCCGAAGAAAAGAACTACAACTAAAAAAGACAGGCTGTTGATCTGGATGGCATGTTCCCTTATTACCATGAATGCACTCATTGTAGTTTACTAAAGTACTAACTATGTAGTAATCCAGCTTTGCAAATGCTTGTGAGTGATGCTTAATAAAACCTGTAGTGCTGGCCATTTAAAAAAGGCTTAAGGGGTTAAGGAAAAAAAATACTTTTAGAAATGATTTTAATATTCAAAGTGGCCTGTTTCTGTGTTAACTCTGCAGGAATGGCTATCCAGACCATTGTGTTTTTCATCTGCTTCTTGTTCCTGGTGTTTTTGATCATTATCCCAGTGTTTTACGGCCGTAACATCATTGTCTTTGAAATTGCAGGAAAGGCATGGTGAGTCAGCAACAATTCATATAGCTCTTTCCTTTTTTCTCTTTTCATGAATCAATGATTCAAAACACTTTCATTTTCCACCTTTGTGATGTCTCAGGCCGGCCTGGGTCACACTGATACTGGTGACAGGGCTTCAGCATGTGACTGCTAAGTTTGCTTTCATCAAACAAAAAGCCGGCACAAGAGACCTGAACAACAGGTGTGTTTGTTTAGTCCTACTCATTTGTTGGAATGCAGTTTAATTAGGTTTTGTTTATTACTTAGACATTTCAATTACTAGTTGTAATTTTATTTTTGTTCGATACTAATAAAAATGCAATGCAATTCTGAGGATGAAACTGTTTAATTATTAGTAACACGTGTCAGTTATTTAGTTTAGCTCTTTTACAGCATAAATGATGTCTTTAAATTACAAAGAACTGAATAAATAAATAAATGGTTTTCCAACTATTAGTACTGAAGGCTTTGTATCTGTATCGTCAAAAAATACTAAAGAAGTAGATTAAGTAGATTACAACATGAATACTTTCTCACTGGGATTCAACTTGTTAATTAGAGACATGCAACTACTTCTGAGGACACTGGGGTCTTTGTTTTGTGGTAGAGGGGGCCTCAGAGAGTTTCTGTTGAGTAGTTTTAGCTTTAGGCTGAAAACTGATTCAAAAACATCCATTTAATACAAAGACATTATTTAATTTATATAGATTGTTAAAGAATAATGAGTGGTTTTATTTAATTTTGTACTGAGGCATAAAGTTGGAGAACAAAGAACAAATCTAGCTGAAAGGGTTGAGATTTCTTGAGTTTTAAGACCTATTATGGTCCAATCTCAAATACCATTTCCCACAATGCAACTCAGAATCCTTTATTTGTTGTTGTTGTTTATTTGTTATTACTTCATTTAAAAATGTGAAGCCTCCACTCATCAGAGGTCAGCACTTTCAGGGTCACAAGCTCTGTCACAGGCTTTGTATTGCTAATGTAATTAACTTCATGTTTACACTCAGTTTTTTCTCACAGTCTCCTCCATGATGCTTTTCAGAGAGAGTCTGTTCCTCCTGACGTACCTGCTGTTCCTAATCAACACCGTGGTGGGGCTGGTTGTTGCCATATGGAGAATAGTAATAACAGCTTTGTACAACATCATCCATCTTGGTCGTATTGATGTCAGTCTGCTGCATCGCACAGCAGAGTCCTATGACCCAGGTACGATTCATTCAATTTGTCTAGAACAATGGAATCCTGGAGTATTGAGGAATAGGCTATATAGACCTTTGTGAACACATCCTTTATGTACAGTAACACTGTTACTAATTTTAATCATCTTGAATGACTTGATGATAATAACAAAAGTATGCAATTGCATTTTTCAGACAGTCTGATTTAAATTCTACTCTGTGACCTTTAACTCTATTTAGCCTACTGCTACTACACACACTTCCTGAAGGTGGAGGTCAGTCAGTCGCACCCGGTGATGAAGGCTTTCTGTGGGCTGCTGCTGGACATGATGGTTGGGGGTGGGAGAGCTGGACAGAAAATACAAGATGCAGAGGAAGGTAGAAATCCTAAACTGGAAACACATAAAGACAAACATCCTCTCTCTCTCACACACACACACACACGCAAACACAGTCCAGCTTTTGTGCCACTACATTTAAAACATATTGAACATTAAGTATTTAATAAGAATGTAATAATAGTGCTTTATGAAAAAAATGCGTTGTGGGCAGGAGAGGGAGTTGTTGTAATACCTAGAATGATCACAATTGGAAAAAATTAAGCAGTGCTGACTTATTCTTTTAATACAGCCGTGGTTTAACTTCTGAAGGCCACAATGTGTTACTCTCAACATGTCAAGCTCAGCTTTACACTGTCCAGCTTAATTATCCTCACTGTCAGGAAGAGCTTTTACCGTAGACTCAGCTAATTGCTACTGCTAATGCTGTGGTCCAATCATAATATGTTTATTATTTAGCATTTCTGCTTATTATGCTGCCATGCTGAAATCTGCATCCTGGCAATCCTCACTTTATGATTATTACTACTGCATGTTGCAATTGTGTAACATTGTTAGTATAAATGATAAAAAATTTAGCTTACAGGAAAGAGCAACATTTATCACTTTAGAATGGCATGCCAAAATCAGCACAGGACCATTGTGTTTTCATTAAATCCACTTTTCTCTATAATATATTATAAGTTGCTGACTCTCAGATGGATATGCTTGTAATGACAAATATCAAAATGGATATTTAGTTGTGTAGCTTTTACTGACTACAATTTCTAAACCCACAGAGCTGCCAAATACAGAAGGCTTTGAGTGTTTCTCCACAATGTGTTCTTTTCAGTGACACACACATGAAGCATGCTTATGCTGTTATATGGGGTTGTAACAATTTCTTAGCCACTGTTTTCAAAATACATCATGCATACATTGATACATGACACTAAGCATATTCAGCCCCTTGGTTTGCTGTCTCGTTCTGCCCTCAGCCTGCTCCTCCTTCATGCTTTCAGGAATTCAGGAGAATAAGCCAAACAAGGCGAACAGCAGTCAAAGGATTCGCTCTCGCTGGCAGCTGATGTACACATTGGTTAACAACCCCTCCCTGCTGGGCTCCAGGAAGCATTTTCAGACTCTGCAGAACTCGGAGAACGTCCTGAATGGCACCCCCAACCGAACCTCCAAAAAGGGCAGCAAGATGGAGGCCAGCAAGCTGGGCGCAGAGCCAGCAGAGCCCACTGAGACCCCTGAAAGCCAAGAAAAAACTGAATGAGTTTGAGTTGGCAATATATTTCAAAATTGTACTGGGTGTAATCTGCATTAAACAAACCTGCAAGTGCTAAATATAACTACTACAATCAACCGCTTTGCTTCAGAGATCTTTTAGCATTTAACTTATGTAAATAGTTGTCTAAATTATTCTGTTTATTTCTCTTAGGTTAGCTTTAGGCAACAAAAACATTACATTAAGATCGCATCCAGAAAGCACAAAAGTACAGAATATGTACTTAAACAGAAGTACAGATACTAGTGTTAAAAAATACTCCAGTGAAAGCTGTAGTATGGATTCAACTTCTATACTAAAGTAAAAAAGTACCGGCTCTGAAATGAACTCAAAGTAATAAAAGTAGCTCTTTGGAGAGTGTTTCTACTACCTATTTTTGTGCAACGTTAACTGAACTCTGTGCTGTATTAATGTAATGATAAAATAATATCAGTAGAGGGAACAAAAAACATGTTTCAGTCTCATTTTTAATTCTAATAAATGTATTCAGCTTAAATCGATTATGAGAAGAGAAAAAGAAGGAAATAAAATAAAATAGCTCTTTTTTTTGTTGCTTACATTGCCGAGGCTGATTTTGCCTCTAAAAATGAGTACAGTCTGGGGTTAAAGTGAGATTCAGCAGGTGCAGGAAACCTAAAATCAGTTCTAATGGCTCAGAGTGGGGAAAAGAAAAGCATCACACATGAAATTAAATAACACAGTTAGGGTTAGTCTACCTCAGTTTTTGTTGCAGCTTGTTTCACAATATGAAAAAAACGTGTAACATGTACAGACCCAGTATCTGATTTAGAATAAAATAGACCTTTATTGTAAGCTTTAAACTTCTGGTTTATCAAATCCTAATGAGGAAATAGCTGTAGTCCTTATTTCTCTTCTTCCTCTCCTCTCCTGTCTTTCTTATCTCCATCTCTGAATGAATTTAGCTCTCTGACTTTTCTCTCCCTGTGAAATAAGCAGTAGCAGCAGACAAACTGCGCACAAACAGTGTTTTTGATGATGCTTGCTGTGCTGATAAAAATGTTGTATGTGAAATTACCTGCCACTAAAACTATGTCACTCCATTTTTGTTTTGTCCTCTTCTGTTAGGCTAGCTAGATGCTGAAGTACTTGTGTTGTGTCGGTGTTGTGCCAGAAAAAAAGAAAGCACAAACCACTTTAACCCCTGACTTTGGCACACAGGTTTGCCTCTTTCATCTCTTTTCCCCTGGTGAACAGGACTGCCTGTCTTGAGTTACTGTTCAGGCTTAAATCGGTTTGATGTATGAAGGCCCGCAGTGACGTAAAATAATAACTCCCTGTCAAATGTTTTAAAACAAAAGTAACAAGTCTGTTAAGAAGTAGAACGTACAGATATTTATTTTAAAATGTAGGGTGCAAAAGTAAAATGTTGTCAGAAAAAAAACTACTCAAGTAAAGTACAAATACCTGAAAATTCTACTCAAGTTCAGTAAGTTTTTGTAATTCGTTACTGTATGTGTAACAAAGTAAATCATAGGCATTGTATGTGAAGTTTGTGTTTACTGAGATAGCTCACAGAACTCCCTCACACAACAGTTAGAGCGACAGAGTTCTCTTTGCCACAAATTGACTCCACCAGATAAAACTACTGAAAGTGCTGCAGGGACACACTGAAGCCTGACCCAAAGGAACCACTGTGCATTTCTCAGTATAAAGGATGTGCTGAGAAGTTCCCAGTCGGTGACCCAAAGGGTCAGAGACCCTAGGTAGTCTACAACTTAATATGTGGTTATAACCTTGAGGTTGATTGGAGTGTCTATCACTAAAGTATCCTTGCAGAGTGTACATCACATTTCAACCAACCAAAAGGAACTCTGAAGAAATGTGGCTGCGAAGAAGATCCAATGGGATTCCAAAAGAAATATTAATAACAATGCAGGTCTCAGCTCATGTATGAAAAATATAATTTAATTTTGTTAAGCTTTACTTTACAGTATTGTTCAATTAGTCTGGAAGCCTTTTTAATTAGTTAATACTGACTTGCATGGCGCACAGACTGATGGCAGTGATCAATGTCAGCATCAGACATGCAGCACGGAGTCAATAAGCAGTCTAGTTCTAGCCTAGTTTATTTTTGTCTGGGTAATGTAGCTATGCCAGCCCATACTGATTGGATATTTGTGTTCTCAGTGGTGTAGGAGGATTTTTAAGACCATGGACGGGCAAATTTATATATAAACCAACTTCACAGCAAAATCTCACAAGCTGAAGATGCAAATATTTTATATTTACTCTAGTATAAACATTGTTTTCTGCTGCAGAATACAGTGTACGATCTTAATATGCTGTTAGAAGACTGTATGTGTGTTTGTTTTTATTTACATTTCAGCTTTGTCATAATATCTTATCTTATCTCATATTTAGATACCTAATTACAGTTTCCTATTAGTTTCCTATTATGTTTGCTGTTTTACATACAAGTCCTGAAGATAAATAAAAAAGCAAAAAGATAATGTGCTAGTAAATTTGCATATTTCTTTTTTTAGTCATTCTTTTAAAACTATGTCAATATTTTTTTAAAGAAAATTCACAGTTTTTATATGAATTTATTTTGTTGATGACTGTAAATTACTATCCAATAATGCATGCATCTTCTGGGCTCAGCCAATCAGAGCCAGCGGATTTCGTTACACAGGCATTTTGCCGTTACAGGGGCAGAAATATTGCTGTTAAGTGCCTTCATAACTTGAATTTTTCGTTAAATGGGGTATTCGTAAGTCGGGGTTCCACTGTACTAAGAATATTAAGCAAATATATTAAATATTATATGTTTTCATGGTTTAATACAGTTCTTGCTTGGTGAGTGAAAATATCCTGAAATGTAAATGTTTCAGACTAGGCTGACATCTTATTACTGTTAAAGAAAGACAATAAACTAAAAGGGTAAATAATGGAGGACATGCTGACCAGGGTAAGGATATACTACTGTACTGTAATTTAACAGGAAAAATTTCCTCCTGTGTACTCTTCCAAATACCAGAATTTATCATATGTTTAGTGTTTATTGATCGTATTATCTTAATCATTAAGCAGCTTTCTTGTTTGATCTAGTCATTAGTAAGTTTTTCCTAAGAAGTCTTTTACTTCCTTGAACTGTATGGGTACTTCTTTGCTGCGGGCGTTCTCTTAGGTCCACTCTCAATTGCTCCATTTCATCACTAAGCATCAATTAAAAGTTGTTCTGAGTGATCATCTTTATCCTGTCATGAAACATTTATGTTCTGAAAGGAATGACTCCAGCCACATCCCAAGACTGGTTACTGAATAATCTGATGAATATAAATATGACACAAATTATATGCTATGGCCTTCACAGGGTTAGACACGTTAGCATGCTGTCCACCATGGCATCAAAAGCATGACATTTGTTTGAAGAATGGCGCTTTGCCCCTGCTATGTGGATTAGAAGGACTTGGAGAATATACTGTAGGTATGCCAAGGTACACTGACAGCTGTGCTGGCAGCATGTCGTAGCCCACTTTGAATTTTGAGAGAGAGGAAAACAATGTGGGGTTTTTTCAAACTTTATTGAGGCACATAGGGCAGTTACAATATTTAAACACTTTGGTAAAAACATACTGTTTCCTTTATCACAGGGATAAAAAAAAAAACAGAAAATAGACAACAAGAAATACTGATCTAAAGTTATTATTTGGGCCATTTATAAGACACAACATACTGTGACTCCACAACAGGCAGCATGCAGGTCCTCTAACACTGTGCCCTGGGAAAAACAGCAGGACGGACACATGACCCAGATACAACAGAGCAATAACAGAGCACACACACACACTCATAGGTGCTTCTACATTTGGAGTAGGGTGTCTACATTTTATCACGATGGAGTCTGTTTAAAGCAGCCTTATATTTGGAGTCAACACACTTCTCCTTATTGGACATGTTTACCGTATAGCTGAACAAAATGCTCACAGCTGCAGTACACAAAGATTTGATGTTTTTTTTATGAAACAACACAGTTTTCATTAACATTTAAACTCCATTAAGTGATTTTTTATTAAATTTCTATTTTAAGCCACTACACTCCTAATAGAAGCACACACATTTACTTTAAAGCAGAACATAGGCATATTTGTTAGTACTGATTTCACTACGCACATTGCTTTGCGCTGCAATTCATATGTGACACAAGTCATTTTTTTCCCTTAATCAAACCTTGATTGTGACTGTTGTACTCATCCTGACAGGCAGAAACGTGTGCTCTCATCCATGACCCGCCTACTGTTATCTAGAAACAGGTTTAGCAACAGTGCTTAAAAATGAATGAGATATCAACGTTTCTGAGGTTACATAGGCTTCCATTTCTTGTCATACCTGCACTCATGTAAACGTGGATATAACCGTTGAATAACTGGTCTGAAAAAAACATTTACATGCAGGACTTAGTGTTGGTTAGTCATAGTGTGCACTTTGAAATTATTAATAGATATTCAGTCCCTACTGTGGAAATTTTACCTTCACACCACAGAAGATTTTATTCTTGCTGTTTTGGTCATACTGTGAATTTTTAACTCGTAACTTTCTGATTTTATGTAAACAGCATTTACTGGGATAGAGTTACTAAAATTTGGTCAAGTCCGTGCATGTTTTGTGGGGCTTTTTTTTCTTTCTCAAGATCACCAGTACTGAAATTTTTTTTAAAAAAGACGTTTGAATAGTATACTTGCTATTGTGTGCATGTGTGTATATGTGTATTTTCGTGTAGATCTGTATCTAGTAGGGGTGCAACAATACACAAAATTCACGGTTCGGTTCGATACTTTGGTGTCACGGTTCGATATTTTTTCGATACAAAAAAA